AAGTGAACATGCTTATAAAATCACATAGTAATAAAAATATATTTAACTGTATACCTATAATATAATAAGAGACATTTAAAATGTTCTATGTACAAATACTTTTTCATTAAATATCACACTAAGAGTTAAAATTTGATAACAAATTAGATACTTTTATTTTCATAAGTAATCTTAGTCCTTTATAATCTGATTTTTACATATCAATACATTTTATAACAGCTAATTAATTTGAATTCACATGTATAGAAAAATTGGAGTTAACATTTCGATATGAAATTGATTTTAGTTATTACTATTTCAATTTCTAAATGACAAACACATTGATGGATACCTCCAAATAGCAAGCATTTGTTAAATAAAAGACTACTAACTAAAAAAATTCTCAGTAGTGAAATRCATAGTATTTAGAGGTTCCACCATACATATTTGTCAAACTTTAGTTTCAGTTTAATTTAATAAATAAATGTAGATACAGTAGTTCTATATTATACATAGGTTTAACCTATGTCAATATTTATTTCTAGAAAATTAGATTTAGAGGTTGTTACTAGAAAAAATTAATCAAATAAAAGGTTATCTTCGCAAATATAAAACATAATATGTTAATACTTACTAGAAACATTAAGCACATACCTACTAACTACATTTAATTCCATTTTTTTTTTTTAACTAACCTGACAATTTAAAGTTTAAAAGAAAAATCTTGATTGTAATGTGACTATTTAATAATTGAGCTTTTATTTGCTATCCATATCTACACCAAAAATATATCAGTTTAAACTATGTAACATATTACCCTGGTGACATTGATAACATGATAAATAAAACCAAACACTAACATTAAATGTACTATAATAATAATATAATATAACATACTATATAATTTTTTTAAGCAGTTATCGAATATTAAAACAAGATAAACCAATAGTWAATAATATAACACAAATCAGCTAACAAACTAAAATATTTTACGTACCTAATTCCTTTGGACCAGACGAACTTGTTCAACCTAGTGTCAATGCGCACATCTTGTGTGCCCATTTGTTGGGTTGCAAATTTGCGGATTTCTTTAATCGCGCGAGGGGCTCGCTTCTTGAAACCAATGTTTAAAAGCCTCTTGTGCATGTTAATGGTGTACACACGAGTAACCACCTCATTGATCGCCGATTTGCGTTTTCGTTCCCTAGTTAATTTGGCCATCTTATGATTTCGTCTGCAAGACTATAACAGAACACATAGATAACATKAACACAAATTTAGAATCTTTCTCATCGATCACCGAACAACTCAGATTGTTTGGACGATATTTCGACAAGGATTGGTAATAAACTATTGATAAATGGATACATAATATGTACACAATCGAACAGAAACGACCGCGAGTACTATTTTAACATCAAATAAAAAATGTTATTTATTGAGAATAAATWGAAAATTTCAAAAGTATATAGGTATTTATTATATTACCCTAAACACTTCTCAGCAATAGACAAGTAATAATAAAGTTTTAGTCAAAGGATTGAGTTGGATTAAAAATTTGACTTACCCGAGTCAGACGAGACAGAACGTCAGAACGAAGGATAATTTGCTAAAGAGACGAATTGTTTACAAAAATCTTTGTACATTAACCTACAATGTTGATTAGCACATTTTACAGGCACGTCGACAATACAAAAATARGCTTGGTCACACTGAAATCACTGATAACAGTAGATAAAAAACTGATAAAATATTATGATTACCCAAATATGAAATAATAAATATGGATGAGATCTTAAATATTAAAATTTTTATTTTTATTTATATTTCATTATAGACTGCATATTATTATTATAATAGTCTATATAATTTATACGAATATTTAATTTTTGATTTATGAGTATAATATATACATACGTATTTATATGTGATCTAAGCCTGCCAAGACTAACGTCTGACTTAATCCAACTAAATTTGAGTTTTGACGATGGTTTCATAAAAACTGGTTTATGAATTATTAAGTTTGCTAAAAATAATATTGTTYTATGCGTTTTCATTAAACCTTAGTAGAATCGTATTATTTAAATATAAATGTGATTCCAATATTTCATTAAAATATATTATTACAGTCATTAATATGGATGTTGATGATAATGATTCATTTGAAGAGAAGTATTTATTAGTCGCTAAAGCTGACAATGTCAAACACATTTCGTCTTTGTTGAGGGCTGTTAATTTTAAAGACGTGAGTTGTTTTCTACATTAATATATTATAATGATAATCTTAACCTTTTTCATCTGCATTTTATAGCTTATAAATCGTATAATTCCACTATCAATAATTATTACTCCTCCAAACTAGTTTATTTACTTAACAAACACAATAAACTGAATGCATTAAATTAGGTATCATCGAATTATTGTATTATTAGTTAGTAAGTGGCCAAAAAATTATAATTGTTTTGAGTGAGTACATAATTCTATATATGGAAGTGTTGTAGAGTTCTAAGTTCTGACAATAGGAGGATTAATGGGATGGAAGTAAAAAACTAAAAAGTGAATTGTTTCTTGTATAAAATCTAGGAWACATAATGATATTAATTAGAGTACAGAATTGTCAGTTAAACTTTTAAGRATGAGATTAATTAAATAAATATAAGAAAGTTAATAGTGGAGTATTCCTATGAGTAGTTAGCTCATAATGCAATTAAAAAAATACTCTGTAACATTACTTAATAAGAACAAGAAATTTTATTATACAATTATGCTGTTGTTAGGTTGGTGTGTGTTTTGCAACCGAACATGGTTTGAAAATTGTGGTAGAAGATTCCAAATGTGTACAAGCAAACACGTTTATTGGCAGTGAAATATTTCAAGTATGTTATATCTAATTAATGTACTTTTTTCCTTTGTTGAGTATAAGATGTAGAGATTTTAAATGATTTAATATTAAATGTAATTTCTTTTATAGGAATATCACCTTAATGATGATACGGTTGCCTTTCGTGTTGATCTCAATACTTTAATTGAATGTCTAACAATCTTTGATGGGTGTTCAACTAATCCTAGTTCCACAACTGCTTTAAAGTTGACATACAAAGAATATGGTTCTCCAGTGAAATTATTGTAAATGTCTATAAATTAAAATAAAATAGCAATTAATAATTTGTATTTTAAACTTAGGTTAGAAGAAGGTGGAATCATTACCGACTGTTCGTTGAGAACAATGGAAGTGTTTGATATTTTAGACTTTAGTATACCAGCAGAATCGACTACCAGTAAAATTATATTAAGGTCCTCAGATTTTAAAGACATTCTTAGTGATATAGATAGCACATCTGATTACGTTGAATTTACATTTTCTGAAGAGCCGCAGTTTTTTAAAATTTTAACTTCTGGAATTGCAGGAAAATGTAGTGTAAGTCTAATGCACTAAAATACAAATTATATTGATTATTGCAAGCAATCAAATGTTTGTTATTTTTTTAGGTTGAGATACCATCTAAAAGTGAAATAATGGAGCAGTTTGTTTGCAACACGTCAATTACTGTCAAATATAAATATAAACAGATTAAACCTTTTTTAAAATGTATGAACATATCACAAAAGACATTGATACGAACAAATGAGGAAGGACTGTTGTGTTGTCAATTCATGGTGCAAGTGGACAGCCATACTTGTTATTTAGAATATTTTGTGAGTTTTGTATTTGTAATATCTTACATTTAACATTTATTTTTCCTTTTATTACTATACAATAAAATCTCAATAAAAATATTTTAGAAATTAGTCATATTGTTATAACTGAATACTATATGAAAATAGTTAACACCCAATTGACCTAAAATATTTAGATAGAAAATTTTATCTAATTTATTCAAATGTTTTGTTTCAGTGCACACCAATTGTAGATGAAGACTGATGCATAAACTTTAGATACGAAACATATTTTGTTATTTCATAACTCACTACTATTGATTGTTACTTAATTTTATTAAATATATTACAACTTAAAATCTAAAAACTAATGAAAAATTGAATTTAGTTATACAGRATGATTCATTTATGTGGCTATTTATCTTGAAAATAATTTTTTTTTTTTTAACTTTTTAATTTATTTTCACCCTAATATTTATTGGTGAGATTACTATCAACTTCTCATTTTCAAATGGTAACATAATGTCATGAATTAATAAAACCATTTTTTTTATAAAATTTTTAAAATTTTTATATTTCGCTGATTGGTTTGTGAGATACAGCTCATTTAAGGTTTGGTATTTTTTTACTATTTTTCCAATAATTGCAAAGACCAAGAGCTAGTGATGAATTCGATATCATTGAATCCAAGGTAACAAAATAAATCCAATTAGTCAATGAGTAACTAAAAAAGTACAATAGTAATTTTTAATTAATTGTTATTTATTTTGTTGTCTTGGATCAGTGATATCAAATTTATCAAGAGCTCCTGGTCWTTACAAATATTGGAAAAATAGTAAAAACCACCAAACTTTAAGGTGCTGTATGTCACAAACCTKAAACCAATCAACGAAAAATAAAATGTTAACAGTTAAATTTATGAAAAAAAAATGGTTTTATTAATTCATGACATTTTAATTGTATGTTACTATTTCAAAATCAAAAGTTGATAGTGATCTCACCRATAAATTTAAGAGTGAAAAAAAAATTAAATATTATACGGGTTTAGAAAACATAAACCAAAAAGTTTTTTTAAAAAATGTAATACTTTTCGAGGTAATTAGTGTAGGCAGTGTTGTAGGGTACCCACTTAAATGGATCACTACTATGTATATTGTTCTATAATTATATTTCTATGAAAAATGTTAATTGTTGTGTATATTATATTATTTATTTTATATTTTGTTCCATGAAAAATCTTATTATTTTTTCATTTTTGTATTTATAGTATTAGTAAACACCTCCGTTTTAGATAGTAAACATGTTCTGTGTTTTTTTGATTCCTACTAAAATTAATACTAAATAATAAATTCAAATAACAGATATAACTAATATTAATAGGCTTACACAATTCCCATCAACATTTGTGAGTACTGAGTTGCGACTGGCGRTTGTTAAGAATGGTAAGAATGTCACTAATACATTTTTTTACAATATTGTAAAGTATTTGAGTAAAAGTATTCAAATACTTTTTTCCAGATTGAATATCTTTTTAAATATTGTTTTTTTATTCCTATAATCAATATTGATTATCCATAGCTTATTTTAATGTTTTTTTGATCCAAGAATCATCAACGATGATCAAAACAACATACTTTAATAATTATACCTTATGACATGTGAAAGGACATGTTGAATTGTTGAGATACTAGTGTTATAGCATTTTATTAAAAAAGCTAATCGCTTATATCTTTTATTAATGACCATAAAATTATACTGTAAATTTTACAATAGTACAAAAACATTATTTATTAGTTTTACCAATTTACCAAGAAAATGGTTACCAATTAACATTATTGTTTATCTTCGATGACGATTGATGACAGAATAGGATATCCAAATACATCTCTTCATGTTCAGACAGTTTTCAGTTTAAATGATGAATGAGTACAACTATCACTAAAATGAGAACTATATAATATGATTAATCAGTATTTTGATTTTTAAACAAATCATACTATTAAAATGCATTAACCATTTTTTTAGGTCATTTAAATATTTAACTAAAAATGRTATTTGGGTGATATTTTTAAAAGTATAGCTTACAACATTGTTTATGGTTTGGAAAAATGTTTTTTTATTTTTTGCAGTCTTATCAAATGAAATACAAAAAATCTTGGATGATCAATTGTTTTATAAATTTAAGTTCAAATACTGAACATACTACCTCCTTACCAATGAGAGTAGATTTTCTGAACCACTCACTGAATATCTTAGCAGATGAAGTAAATGAATTTATTTACCTCACACCTGAAACATATGTCTTGCAATCAACTCTTCATCTAGGAATTTTATCTTTTGATTCTTGTCATCACGGAAAGTGGGTTCTGAGCTTTAATGATGAACCATCAGCAATGAATTTCATCGAAACGTTGAGGGAAAACGATATTAAAGTGACGGACATTGAAAAATTGTTATCAGAAAAAGAGTGTTTGGAAGATGCTATAATTAAAACTGTAACTGATGTAAGTTTCCAAATTTTGTAGCTAAAGTGGAATACACCATGAAAAACAAGAATAATTTTTGATCATAGGAATTAATTTTAATCAAAAATAAGAGTAATAATAATAATAATAATAATAATAATAATTATGAATATAATATTAAAATTAATATATGTCTAAAGTACTAAAATGTAAATATTATTTCATGTGTTAAGTACCTACCTATATATTATTTAAAAATAAAATCTTTATGTTAAAATCCACTAAAATATAATATTAAAAATTATAATAAATTACACATAATTTTTTTTTTTATTAATCTTTTTGCAATATTGAATATACCTAGCTTCTTAGGTCACAAAAAAAGCTCATACACAAATGTTGATGTTTTATAATATTAAAGCAAATATAAAAAAAAAAAAAACAAAGAAACAAATTGCATTACACGTTATAGGTTTTCAGTCTTGGTAAGAGTAGTGAAAGGATTCGGGCATACTGATTTGACCTATATCAGAGCGCACTTGTTAGAAAATAATACTATATAAATGGAATTAAATTTTATTTGCGGGGAGAACGACTTGTGTTGAGCATTGGTAGATCTTCGTCCTGCGAGTCCTCATCCAGTCGATTGTTTCCATTACACTCTCCATTTGATGCACCGTATGTTTCTTCTCTGGACGCTTTCATTTTTAATATTTGCAACCGTTTCATGAAACCATCGGCTTCGCTTGAAGCGGCAGACTCTGGTTTTCGTATGGGCATAGATGTAATTGGATGTAAACTGTCATTATTTCCTATACAATAAAAACAAAAGGATAAATAAAATATGAATAAAACATAAATTCAAGTCAATAACTATACCATTGGGTTCTACTAAACAGCTTTTTAAATTGTCTTCAATAGCTGACAGTTTACGGTGAATATAATCTTGAAAATATTTTGTAGTTTTAGAAATATGTGGTTCTATGTCAATATTTGGATGCTTTATTTTGAATCTGTGTAACTGTTGTATGCCCTATAAAAAAAAATACAAATTATATGGGATTTAAATATAATGTTCCCAGACTAGTGTAAAAATAGTTATTTTGTCACTTAAAGAACTCAAAGTCATGAAGTATTTCAATAACTTACCTCATCAGTGTTTTCGTGTTGACCTATTAGTTGGAATATCTCTGACAGTTCGTCATATGGTGTTCGATGTTTTCGTTTACTACTTTCTGGTCTAGGTTCATTGTTCAAATGCTATATTTAATAAGGATTTATTAAATGTAATAAATTATGTGATGAATAGCGATCACAATATATATATAACTAATAATCATCATTAATTATTACCCTCAAAAGTTTGTGTATGTAAACAACCATTTCTGAATCTTTAGGGAATTCTGGACTCTCTAAACTTTCCAATACTTTATCACTGCGTATTTTTACCATAGTATGAAGAACAGTTTTACATGTTCTTAATGGAGTGTCAGACGGTTGTTTTTTCCAGTGTTTTGAATCAAACTCCTAATTAATATATTTGAATTATGACATAAATAAATGTGAAATTAAAAATAATAAAATCTATAGCTATAACTGATATACCTTTAAAAATCTGTGTATATGTGCAAGCACTCGCTCGTAACATAGTTCATCTCCCCATTCTTGAAAATCTTTTACTATTTTCCATATACATTTCATTACTAATTCTTTATAATGAGTAGAAGAGTTTTGAGGAGACTTAACTGTGTCATACAGCATTGCCAACAGAGCACTGTGAAATTATTGTTTATTATAGTATGGTATAAAAATTGGTGTAGAGCAATTGCTTACCATGTGACTGGTGTATGAGCAGACCGTTCCAAGACATTCATAATGAGACTATTTACACACCGTCCAAAAAGTTGAGTGTCTGTACTATTTTCTGGTCCCTTCATACTTAATAGATACAACAGTTTTGAGAGTAAGTCACGCACAATTTGTTCGTTCAGTATTAAAGTAAATTCTTGATATTTGTACAACTAAAATTATATATTAATCAATGAATTGAAGACATTTAGTGGATACACAATTCAAAGAACTCAAGGAGCAGTTGGATGAAAAATGAAACTTGAGACTCAGTAAATGTTTTTACACAATGTAAAGGAGTATTTAATGAGTTGAACTACTTTGAGCTGATTGAATAGCATTTCACTTATTTTAGAGTTCAATAATAACTTTAAATAAGCTATACTTACATTCAAACATAAATTAAATATATTCTTATATCCAACAGTGACGTCAATGTCATGAGATTCAGATAAGACATCAAATTGTTTAATGATAGCATAAAATAGTGATAATACTTTTCCTCCTTCTAAAAACTTAGATCTCATCTGCAAAAAAAAAAATATCAATAATAGATAATACATTTGTTGGAAAAATTCAACATGTTAAAAATATATGAGATTCAAAATTTCCTTACATCAGGTCTCAAAAGCATTTTGTCAAGACTTGTGAGAGCAGTTTTTGAAGTCTCAATATTTTGTGATGTAACTTGATTTATTAACTGCTGAATAGGATCTGGACTGGATGCTGGTGAWGTTTTAGGACTTTTTGTAATAGTTGCAGTACTGTATGGGCTCACATTCACACATGGTTTGGATGACGACATATTATCAGGTAATGATCTAAAAACGAGAAAAAAATGTTTTAGTTCATCTTAGTAAAATTTAATAAACAAATAGTTACATACTGAGTATGATCTTGAATTCTTTTTCTGAATTTAACTTCATCATGATCTGTATCCCAGTTATATGATTTTAATTTTAATTCTGGCTTCGAAATCTCTTCTGCTTCTAGTTCTTTAATAAACTTTTCATCGAGGGCATAACGTGTCACTTGAGGTTCATCATAAACTTCACTAACAGGTCTAATAAAATTTAAAAAGGAATAAACTAATAAGTATTACATATTATACTTATGGGTATTTCAGTATATGTGTGAACTACTAAGATATTCTAAATATTATATATATTATCTACCAAACTGCAGCATGAACATAGTAACTATTTAATATTTACAAGCAGAGCTATCCCGATGGAGATTAAAGAACCCTTTCCTAAGCGTACAAAATATATGTTAGTTAATACATGTGTGTTGGTACTCGGAAAATTAACAACTTTTTTTATAGTATTTATACACAATTGAAGTAATATTTTGACAATCAATATTAAAGGTAGATACCAAATTGGATATAGTTAGTACTTTAAGAGGAAAAACTGTAGTAAATTTATTTAACTTACTGTATGGAAAAAAATAACTTTTGTAGCAATAATATCATATATTAATATTATTGGTAATATTTTTAGGGCATTGGATTCAAATAAGTACCTAATAATTATAATATTTAAATCAATATACAACATATGAGAGAGAGAGAGAGAGAGAGAGAGAGTAAAAAACAAAACATTATAAAAACTAAAACTTTTTGAATATTATTTTAAATATACTAATATTATATATCATATAACAATTCTACCACCAATATCATAATAAAGATTTTTTTTTAGTTGCCACATAAATGAATCTCATGCAGGGATGGGGGAGGGCTTAATATTTGGTTTAGGTCAGTGTTGTATTACTGTATATAATTCCTATACACTATACCTAATGAGATCATGCCTCTACAGTTTATAGCTACACAAGTTTTATCACCTCATTCTCATCCTTAATGCCGATGAATGCTCTATAGCAGTAGGAATGCTTCCTGTTCTATATGATAAAGTGCTTGAAGATCTAGAAGGTGAATCATTTGAATATCTTTGAGGACTAGATGTGTGGTTGGATTCTTGTGAAACATTAAATGTAGCGTTATGCTCTTCTTCGTCAGAGTTATATTCATCATCAACAATATCCTCAGTGTCAGGTACTTGTTGGACAGGAGGTACAACCATTTTGATGGTTGGCTGAACTGTAGCCACTGGCACAGCTCGATTTTTCGATGCTCTTTTCAATCGTTCTCTCAGAAGACCCATATCTTTTTCAGATATCTATACCAATAGTAAAACTGTATTATAAAAAGTGTAAGTACACAAAAACTTGCATTCTATGTTCTATGAGGAGCATAGGCTGTATAATAATTAAAAACAAAATATATTTTTATCCTTACAATTCTAATCTAAAATTTAATTGGTTATGATAAATAAACTAATGAWTTAATATCAAGAAAATTAAATTATTTTTGAAAAAAATTCAGTGATTTAAATGATTAGTAAATCACCATGTTCACGTTTAATACTTATCTATAATATTATCTTATCACTATCATAATATTGAACACAATAAAGGGTATTCTTACATTGCCCACAAATTTGAAAAGTGCTTCTCCGTGCAAAAAGAATGCAGCAACAAAGCAATTTAATGCAGCTGTTCGGACAGAATTGTCTCTATCTCCAATACTTTTAGCGATTTCTTTACAAGCCGCTGCAACACTAGGTTGGCAAATTGAAGTACCATAATCTTCTATCATTGTTGCCAAATGTTCTAAACACTCTAAAAGCACAAAAAAATATTATGATAAATATAATAATATATTTTACCAAACGTAAACATTCACATTACACCAAGTTGATAAATAAATATTACCTGAACGCTGCCTTGAGTTCTTTGATTTAACACCATCCATAATGTACTGGAACATTTTTGTATTTGGAAATATGAATGCAATTTGTTTTAAAATGGCACGAACATTGCTTCTCACTGTATCTTTTGGGTCACCCAACTAAAGTGTAAATAAAATGAAAAATTCATAATTTGAATTTAAATAAATTTATAATTTGAATTTAAATAAATTTATAATTTGAATTTAAATAAATTTATAATATTTATTTATATTTTTACCCACTTTTGTTACTAAATACGGCACAAAACTTGATGCTTCAGTATCATGAAGAGTGTATTTTTGGGTCATTAGGATGTCAAATATGTGTTGTAAATAGTCAAGACCTTTTAAAAGTACTGACGGATTGGTATCAAAAAATCTTAAAGTCATCCATTTTAATATAAGATCAAGATTACTAATTAATGCTCCATTGCTATCATCA